TACTGCTTACTTTAAGCCACATATCATCTTCCAGTCCAGGGCATAGCGCACATGGGGGCCCCAGACCTGGCCAGACAGCAGTGGAGATGACAGCTTTGACCCTGGGGCAATCAGCTGTGGTGACCTTGGCCCCAGGTCAGGGCTGGGGTTGGAGCTGGAGCTGCAGCAGCAGCAGCAGCAGCAGCAGCAGCAGCAGCAGCAGCTTTCCTGCCACTGCACAGTTTCCCCTGCACTCTTCCTTCCCTCTTGCTCTGTCCAGCCTTTTCCGTGGGCGGCATACAGTATGGTTTGGATTCATAGATTGTAAGACCGGAAGGGACCTTGGAAGATCATCCTGTCCACCCCCTGCACCAAGCAGAAAAGGTAACTGGGGGTCAGGTGAGCCCAGCAAGGTGAATGTCTAGTCTCCTTTTGAAGATTTCCAGGGTAGGTGATCTCACCACCTCTGGAGGGAGCTTATTCCACAGTCTGGACACCCTGACTGTGAAGAATTTGTTCCTAATGCTGAGCCTGAATCATTCTTCCAGGAGTTCGTGGCCATTATTCCTAGTTTTTCCCTTGGGTGCCCTGGTGAACGGGTGCTCACTGAGCCCTTGATGTACTCCCCTAGTGTAGCAATAAGCTACTACCAGGTCCCCCCATAGCCTTCTTTTCTTCAGGCTGAAGAGTCCCACATCCCTCAGCCATTACTCATATGACTTGCCATATAAGACTCTGATCATACAGGTGGCTCTTCTTTGGACTCTGTCAAGCTTGTCCATGTCCGTGTTAAAGTGTGGTGCCCAGAACTAGACTCAGTACTCTAATAGCCGTCTCACCAGTGCTGAGTAGAGTGGAAGAATCACTGGTTTTGCTGGAGGTACATTGGTTGATGCATACCAGAGTATTATTTGCCCTACTGGCTACAGCATCGCACTGCTGACTTATATTCATGTTGTGGTCTATTATTACCCCCCCGTGCCTTTCACTTGTGGTGCTAGTCAGTTTGGTGCCGCCAAGCCTAGAGGTGTGTTGGGGGGTTGCTCATCCTGAGGTGGAGCACTTTACATTTCTCAGTGTTCAACTTCATCAGGTTCTGATCTGCCCAATTTGCCTGTCTAAGTCCGCCTGTATTTGTAGCTTATCTTCAAGCATGACCACGCTCCCCCATTACTTGGTATCATCTGCAGACTTGGCTAGTGAGCTCTTCACCCCCACATCCAAATAATAAAGTTGTTGAAAAGTACTGGACCAAGCACCGACCCCTGTGAAATACCACTGCCCACTTCTCGCTGGGATGACAGATCCATTCACTACGACTCTCTGGGTCCTATCCTGCAGCCAATTTCTCACCCACCTGACTGTCTTGGAGTTAAGCCCATAATCCTCCAATTTTCTTGTGAGGACATCATGGGGTACTAGATTAAAGGCCTTTTGGAAGTCAAGGTATACAATGTCAACCTGCTGTCTCGTGTCCAGGTGGCAAATTACCTGGTCATAGAAGGAGATGAGGTTGGTGAGGCAAGACCTGCCTGCGATGAAGTCATGCTGCCTGTCATTCAGAATCTTACCTTCCGTAAGCTTATTGCAGATAGGCTCCTTGGTGAACTTTTCTACGATTTTCCCTAGGATGGAAGTTAGGTTGATTCACCTGTAGTTACCCGGGTCCTCTCTCCTGCCCTTCTTGTGAATGGGTACCCCTTCTAGTCCTGAGGGACTTCTCCAGAGTGCCATGAGTTGTGGTAGAGTTTCTCCAGGGGTTCTGCAATGAGTTTGGCCAGCTGCTTCAGCACTTTTGGATGAAGTTCATTTGGTCCTACTTGTATGTCTATTTTTTTTAATTGGTCATACACCAATTCTCTGACAGTAGTAGGAAGGCAATTATTCTTGTTATGCTCATCCTCTGCTCTACCTGGCGTTGTTTTCCCCTTGCCCCGGTGAAAAACTGAGGCAAAGTAGTCATTCAGGAGTTCAGCGTTCTCCTGGGTGCCGCTAACCAGCTCTTCTGAGTTGCTGAGCAAGAGCCTCGCGCTCCTATTTGTTTTTTACAGGTCTCTCCTATGCCATCTCCCTCTGCATTCGGGGCATCAGCCACCTTGTCCTCGGCTGGTACTCAAATCTAAGATGAGGTTTTTTTTTCCTAGTGCTTGGTGGGGATAACACTTTGTTCTTGGATTTGAGTGAACCTGATATTTCTATAACTTTTTAGTGTGTTGTTACTCTTACCAGTCTTAAGGAGGCAAAACATATGCTTGACTATGATGTGTGATGTGGCTGCTTGCTTACATCCACACATTTCATAAAAATTGATTTCCTGTTCTTAGGAGTTTTCTTTTACTATTTCTAAATCTTTATTATCTGTAGATCATTCTACTGAAATCTCTCTGGATTGTCCTGGAATTTAAACCTGCTTATGGGATACCCTTCTAGTTTGACAACTTCTGTATTTTCTCCAGAGAACCTGTAAAGTGCAATGTAGCATAAGATAGGGAAGTTTGTGTTGGAGTTCAGCATTTCAGCAAAACATCCTGTAGTAGTCAGTAAGCAACAGCAAGCATAAGTATGTGTTCGTGGATAATTGCTTCAAAATTGCTTCACCATTGGGAAAGAACCAGTCAGGATAATAATAAGAATGTTAGATTCTTAGTCCCAGTGTCTGCTAGATAACTGTGTTTCAACCTGTGGTCTATAGACCCCTGGGGTCTGCAGTCTGTGACTCGGGGGTTTGCTAAATTTGTCTATGATCAATCAAAAATATGTGAATACCCACACTTACAATTCAAAGGGGTCTGCACCTCCATTCAAATTTTTTAGGGATCTGTAAATGTAAAAAGTTTGAAAAACACTCTGCTGGACCGTGCTCTGTAATATTGGTGTCATACTTTTTCAGAACATGATGACCATTGCTCAATATTACATCATATTTAACTTCATTTAATTCACTTAGGTATCTTGCTAACTTTTATAAAAAGTGTTTATATAAGGCAGGTTTCTTCACTGAATTGTCAATAAAATCACCAATATATTTTCGTTTAGACATATGGCCAGTTTCCTATACAATGCATGGGGGAGAAGTGAGTGTCTCAACGGGATTTATAACAGACAGTATGGCAGGACATGGGTTGTGGGGGAGTAGAAATGCACTTAATCTTGCTAAGACATAATACCACAGAGGTTTGAAATACCACTTCTTGAGGACTAGATTAGGATTCATAGCCTGCAACCCTCTCCTGGAGTGATTCACCTATATTGGCCCTTTTGGAAACAGATGTCTTTTGCTCTTATTTTTAAAAAGCATGTAGTGGTAGCAATATTCTTTTTTTTTATGATTGCCTAATGATTAGTGCTTGCCAAGGAAGTGGGGAAATAGGGTCCAGTGCTTTCCTCACCATTAGAAAGTATGATCCCATAACTCTCCATTCTATGGAGAGAAGTCTAACAGGTAGATAGAAGTGTAAAACTTTACCTCTTCTGCTGAAAGTGTGTTACTGTTTAGAAGATGGTGTCACAGAGCACAAGAAGGGGAATGACTTAGTTAGCTCACTGATTGGGGTTTCCATCTGGGAGAGAGGAGTCTAGGCAGGACTGCTTGCTCTAACAACTGTTTCTGATTTTATCTAATAACTGTTTTATATAAAAGCCAAATGATATCTGTATTTCATATTAAAAATGGGTGCTCTTTCCTATGTTCTGGAATGAAAGTAGCCATAGTGATTGCATTTTGTGCTGAACTCGCTTCTGCTGTCGCTTGGGCATCCTCAGAGTGTGTCTAGTGGATTAAATTTGTTAAGGTACTTGGGTACAGAGGTGTCTAGTTAGTGGATTCTTAGCAGCCTTACGCATGAGATTAAGTGCTGAACTGCACCTGTTCTGGGTATGTACCACAGCAAATTGCCGAGTGTTTAAGGAGCTTCCTGGCAAATATTTAGGCACGTAAAAGGTTTGGGTTGTGGGTTTGAAGATTATACTCATAAGTTTGGGCACCCAAGTTAAATATGTTAAGTTTGGGAAAACAAATAGTTATTGTTTGTGGTTTGTATTTCAGGAATGGTTTGAATAGTGATCTGGTTTCTCCCAAGGGATGCAGAGTAGAATAGAGAAACTTGCATCCCCAAATATGAATAACGGAAAATGCAAATTTTGCAAAACAATTAAACATCCAATTAGTTAACTAAGAGGAATTGTTCCCTAAAATACAGAGTTTTTACTAAGTATTTTCATATTCTATTTCAGTTGTATAGTATTTAGAATTTTATTTTGAAGTATATTTGAAGCATGAAGCCATTTTGGTTTGTTTTTTTTAAATAAAATAAAAAAGTCATGTCCAGTGTTTTTCTTTATAGCCGCTTCTTGCTGTTTTTTATTATTGCTAGAGCTTTATCATGAACAACTTGCCTTTTCTTTCTGCTTCATTTTGTAATGAAACTATTTTTCTAATTTTGGGAATATATTAATATTTGGAAGTGAAAGAACTAAATTCAACATCATGCAAAATCAAGCAAAAGATGGACTGCATCACAAGTCCATTTTCATTCATGTATGTTTATATGTCTGTTCTTTTATAAGGATTGCTTAAAATCATACTTGATGTTGTTTGTTTTATAATATTTTAGGTATCTACAACATAATATCCAAAGATATTTAAGATCTTTTCAAGCTGAGTATATACTGGTATCTTTGTTTTGGGAACCTGAGACATGAATTAGCTAAAGGCCTAATTTTAAAAAATTGGCACTGACAGACTTGTACACAGACTCACACAATTTGTGATTGATGATTGTGAACAGAAAACAGGTCTTTGGACTTCTGGGTGTATCCTGTAACAATTGAACAATTCTACTTCCTATTAAAAAGTTCCATCTCCTTTCTAGTTGTATGTATATTGATAGTATTTGCAGCCCAGTGCCACACAAAAGAGTGTTTCCTTCCCTAAAGATAGGAAGTAATATTTTAAAATTATCAGGATAGTGATATATTGTGTTCTTGACTCTTGTTCTAATATAGTCTTTTTCATTTTACAGTGTGGTTTGCTGCTGGACTCTTCCCCCCACACCCCCACAGGATGATATGAGACTTGAAAGAAGACGATGCATACAGGTGATCTTCGTTTTGAAAATACATAGAGGAAGAAAGATCTATATACATATGTTCCTTCTACTGTGTTCGCATTTGTTTATCTTAACCTCACAAACTGCATCATTCAAACCATCATAAATGTTACAGAACAGTAGAAAACATTGAAGCCATTTGGATTTTTGAAGCTTCAGGAAGGATGCTGTGAAATTGTGTAGCAGGAAAACAGTTTTCCTGAGTGTAAATACATTCTTTTCTAGTTGACTCTCACAAGATGGTCAAGGCAGTCAGACTGCTGAAAGAGGATACTGCTCTGAGTTATTTAAACCTTCCTTTTATTCTATTTCCAATTACAAATTTTCCATTAAGTGTTATCTAGTTACTAGTATATAATTTACAGTTTTAAAATACTGCATTTTTTTTTTATTTAAACAATTATTGGTTTGATTGAAACTGATTTCATCAAGGAAACAGTCAACAGTATTTGAACCTTATCTCACATTAATAGATTTAAGCATTGTATGGGTTTTGCAAAAGGTGGTGATCTAACAGTGATTTTTTGTAACAACTAAACATTCTTCAAGTTAGTGCTTTTCTAAAAGAGTACTTGGACATACCAAAATGAGCATGATTGCTTCTATTGATTAAGAGCAGGTTATTTCCAAATATACTTGTAAATTGTTGTCTTGGGAGTATGGCTAATAAATTGTCATAAAGAGCGATTGGTAGTCCACAGATCTTCAGTGGACTTGAAGCTCTATAAAATAGTAATTGTAGAGTACATAGCTGAATGTCTTGTTTCTGCAAAGGTTTATAATCTATTGCTCATATCTCCAGGCTTATAAATGTGAAAAATACAAAACAAGGTGGGTCTTTATTATTTGTTTGTTCCACTTTAAAACCCACGCATGCTTAATTAAGACAGAAAGGATAGTTGGGTTTATGCATGCATGCAGATGATTTCCTGATTGACAGTCCTTGGTTCCATCAGTCATTCATGCATAAACAGCTTTACAGGGTGTATTTATATGGAAGGAGTTGGATTAACTCCAAGATGCTGTAAATTTATATATTTTTCTCTCCAAATCAAGCCCTTTCATTCTATTTAAATATCTGAAAAGTTGCATGGTGATGGTTAAAGTAACATTTGAGCTAAATGGCTGTAAATGTTGTTATAAATCGTTCATCTAAAGGTGATATTCATTCACTTTAAAATATCTTTGCAGTATATTATTTAGCATCTCTACATTAGCTCTGTTAATGTACCCTAAAATTACTGGATGTCTGTGGAACAGGCAGCTGATCTGGTTGCAGACTAAGATTATTGTTGATTTGTTAATTTTGTCTGATTGTTAACATTCGAAATATGACATGGAGTTAAATATTGAGAGAAAAAAAGTTTTAAAGTTTTTAAAAGTACTCACCCTACAACTAAAAGGGTTGAGTTTGATGCCAAATATTGCTTTATAATGTAAGATGCTGTTGAGGGGATGAGAACTATGTTGTTTGATTTGATCTAATTTGAAGTCAATTTATGCTCAACTATTTTTAGTTTTTGGTCAAAGCTTTTGATCATTACCATTGAACTTATGGTTTATAAAATTAAACTTTTATCCAAGCTTTAAAAATCAGAAATTACTCATTTTAAAACCATATCTACCAAAGCCCAAACTCTTGGTTTTTGGGAGAGGTTCTAGGTTGTAGAATTCAGGATTTTGAGGTATCATGAAATAGGAGTATAGAGAATAATATAAATTTCCAATAAGAAAGGTAACTTGAAAGAAAAGGTTTGTATTTTGGGATTGATAATTATAGCACACCATATGAATGCCATGCATTGAAGAATGCCCCTTTTTAACTTTCTGTAAACCTAGCATATACTGTAATGAATCTGCTGAGCAGTGGTATGTCAACAAAGGCTGTGATTTAATCTGTTGATAGTACATCTGCTGATGCCTGTCTCAAGTTTGAAGTGGAGGGTGAGAGCTCAGCCAGGAATAGGAAGATTTTGTGGCAGTTGAGGACATTTGGAAAGCTGAAGGGATAGCATCAAGGGCAGCAGTTCCTGATGGCTTTTCACAGTGATTGAGCTGGGGTTTTTAGAAATGCTGGTGCATTAGATGTATTTTGGTTTAAGTTTTATAGTGCAATAAACAAAGTGCACTACAATCTATAATAGGCCACAGTAACCAATGGCCTTTAGGTCCTGTCTGTCCCAAGGAACCGTGGCTTCAACAGTGGGAGCCTATGCCTGTGCTGCATCATGCTGTGGTTGGGCAGCAGGGGAGCTCCACTCAGGCCACACCACGGCTGAGCAGTAAAGAGAAGCAGTGGAAGATGGCTGGGTCTTGTTGCTGGCCCATGTCAGACAGGAGGTTGATCATTCTGGGCCCTTGCTTGAAAATGTTGCTGACCCCTGATCTATAAAGTAGAAGTGTAGTGGTGCACACTGAATAATCTAGAGGAGTTGAATGGTAAGCAAGTTTTCCCTTCTGTAAAGCCCACAACAGTAGATTCGTAAACAGGAAAGGAGGTATTTTGAAGTTACATTTATGTGAAGTTGTATCTTTGTAAAACAAGATTGGCAGGTCACTTTATTCTATGAATTTCTTGATTCTTTCTAACACTCATTAGATTTATGGATTTGTCAGTTAATATGGCCTTGTTTAGACAATTAAAAAGAATCCTTTGGAAAACTAATAAGGGATATGGATTTAGTTTTTAGGATGTACAATTTTGATTTCTTGGGTATATTAAGCTTGAAAGCAATTCTGTTGAATTTTTTTTTTTTGTGAGGGAGGAACTTTGGGACTACGCATCATTCTGCTGCTGTTAGTACTGTGGTATCTCTCAGATCAGGGACTTATGCAGGGTAGAATACAAGCTCAAAGTGGGCGTGCCTACCCACATGCTTTAATGCACAGTAGATTATTTTACTGAGCATTAAAGTGTCATGTAAAAAACCATGGCATTACTCTAACGGACGGTAAAATAGTCTACTACACATTAAGTGTCACTAAAAACTGTGCAAATACACTGCTGCGCAGTGTACTGCACATTAATTTAGTACCTCACATTGGAGATACTAAACTTAATGCGCTTTAGAAAAGGTGCATTAATGTATGCATAGACACACCCAGTAAGAGTGGAGTTCCTACCTGAAAGTCTACAGTCTAAATCAGAGGTGGCCAACCTGCAGGTCCAGAGCCACATGCGGCTCTTCAGAAGTTAATATATGTGTCCTTGAATCTTTGAACGAGCACATGGTGACCAACTTTGGAAGCTGGTCACTGTGTGCTTGTGCAAAGATTCAAGAAGACATATATTAACTTCTGAAGAGCTGCATGTGGCTCCGGACCTGCAGGATGGCCACCCCTGATCTAAAGAGTCAGTGACATGTTGGGTTCTGCCTCTACTTCTGAAGAGCTGAAAAGAAACTTTTTAACACGCTATTCTAGCTCTGTAAATTAGTTTTACAGTGGACATTTTATTTTTCTCCTTCCTTGGTTTTGCTCTTCTTAACTAGCAGATGTATTGGGCATCCAATTAAGGATAATTGTCTGAGTTTTGAAAATTTGAAGGAGGACAAGAGTGAGTTTTCTTTTGAACATATTCATGAGAGGACTAGCCTAGATCTTCTAATCCAGTGAGGTCCAATCCTTTTGATAAGTGTAATAGAATTTAGCTCCATACCCTCCTTGAGTGCCACTTCTATCCTTTTACCTGTCTGATCTGCTCTCTGCTCCTTGCTCTGCCTGCCACTGTGCTGTCTGTCCCCTCCCTGTCTAATCTGCTGTGTAACACTTAAGATGTGTGTGCTTTAGGTTGGACACCTCTATTTTAATATCTGTCCACACAAATTATGATGGAAATACTAAAAAAAATCAATTTTCCTCACTGTATAGTGACCCTACACAGAGGATTATTTAAAGATACATTTAGGATGAATTAGTGCACTTGTAAAACAGATAAAATAAGATTGCAGTCTTGAGCAACTTTCCAATGAGTAAGTCCTCGGATAAAGTTTCCCAAGGAGTAATTAGAATTCCATGATTTCTTAAGGCTACCCACAAGAACTGTGGTGAAAAACAGTATTGGGGATATCCACCCATGCTTAAAACTTGGTGTTGGGCAGTTTATAATTGGATATTTACTAAACTATATTTTGTTGGTGGTTGGTCAAGCTCATGTTTGTGTACGTGGCTCCAAAAAGTTGGCTGCATAAAGTAACATTGATATTTTGGGAGTATGGATTTACTGTGCAAAAGAATTTATCAAATATTAATTTTACTTTAAAAAGCCACATAAATAGTTATCAAAAAGATCAGAGTAGACAAGGTATCATATTTACATTTATATTTATATTACAATGAAGTGTGTAATAATACTGTACAATACAATATGATGTTAATTTCCTGAATGTCTTGTGAAAATATTTTGAGTATACCATAACCAGAGGATTGATAAATGTTGAAAACTGGAGGATGTTAAGCAGTTGTATATACAATTTAAAAGATTTTCGAACTTTTAATATCATAGTGTCATAATACTTTATTTTATTTTCAGAATATTTTTCCTCTATAGTAGAGGGAAAAAGCTTCAATAATGCTACTTCTGACACTATAATAAAACAGTGATGGAATATAATACCTCAGGAGAGTTTTACTGTTTTAGTCTTCAAATTTGTGACATCTATTATAATTATTTGGTAAAGGCAGAACAAAAGCCTTCTGGGAAATAACTAATACAATGCCGGAATTATATATTTGTTAAATATGCTTTTGGTTTTATATAATAGTAAAACTAAAATGGCAGTGGATCATACCTCTTACAGATGACTTTGAGATACCGTATTTAAACGGTCAGCTTTCTTAAAGTGGTTTTTATATAGAAAATATAGAAAGAACTTGTTGTGCTATATTATGAACAGAAAGATCTGATATTGCTGTTTTACTTTGTGTAATTTATTTCTTATCTCGGTATACTGGAGCTGCTTTCTGTGTCGTTAGTTATTAAAAGCTACT